AACTAAATAAGTCAGGTTTTGTTTCGGTTCGTTTTTGCGATTAGGTTTGAAGAATTCAATTTGGTCACACCACACTGGCATTCCAGCGGTAAGGCCTCTGCCGATCGGTTTATTTCTAGGTTAATTGGATATGGTTTTTTGTTTCTGGTTGTATAGAATAGATCACGTGGTAGCTAGTTCAATGTTTTTAGAATTCAGGTAGAATGTGTTGTCTATGATTGAGGTATATTCTTTTTAAGGTGACGAACGGCTAACCCGATGAAAATATAAAAGTCGTAGCCCGAAGTAGATCGTGTTCATGGACGGGCCTGTTGGTTAAGTAGTAAGTGATCTTTACTGTTAAGCCTGTTAAGCTCATATATTCAATTCCCACCGAGATAAATAATTGTGACATCTATGTTGCATACACATATCAATTAAGAAATGCATAACTATGTTTATCAGCAGTCTGGTTACAATAGCACAGGATCTGCCTAATTTGAGATCTGCTGATGCTGGTTTTAGGATTTTAAATGTAGTCTACCACCATTAAGATGAGGTGTATGATGTTACAAAATTAGCTTTATTGTTAGTTTTATTTGAGAAACCTATAACAAGAAATCTGATAAGTGTCGAGCCCGATTTGTATGCAGTATTACTTTTAAGATCTACAGTTTGGCTCTGTATTGGAATTGGTTAGTAGTTAATAAGTAGTGAGTAAAAGATCTGGAAGAATTTGTGACTGTTGTAAAATAACGATATTAACAAACCGTTCATAAAACTTGTCACTTGAACTCTGTGAAATATAAAACCATTTTCCGTAATACTAGTATGAGTTATGAGGCAGTAAAAGAAAAATACCCGTAAATGACTGGCACTTGATAAAGTATTTTCGCTCGCTGGGGAAATATACAAAATAAGGGAACAATGTACTTTATGAAAAATACAACCTATTTTTAGTTGTCTACCTCTTAGTAAGGCCAATGTAAAAAGTATCGGGCATTTAAAGCGACCGACCGACTGGTAGTAGCGTTGATACTATCTAACGTAATCGTTCCAATTATTCCGTAACAATTTCCCGACGATTCTTAAATAGAAAACAGTACTGTGTGTAAAGATGCTGATAATTTCAATATCTAAATATTCCCTATATATTATTATTATTATATATTTTTGCATTTCTTTTTGGAATATTAAGTCGTTTGAATGCAAAGTTCATACTAAACTCGACACAATTGTTTCAATCTTGTAGGTTCAGTAAGAAAAGGTTTGTTGTACAACACATTTATTTAAAACTTTATGCAAACTAAAAGTAGTATTAACATCAATCAATAAACACCTCAGTATTTTATATTGTAATGACGTTTGTTACTTATCATAGAACAGCGATTAAGTGACAACTCACGTTTCATAAATCACTTGAGGATTCTATTGTTCATCTCTATTTAAATTGTTCGGTTTGAGTTTGAGGATAGTTCCGTAATTAACTGAATGCTTAGTAAGTAATATTTGTAAGTGAAATAGAAATAAACTTTATTGGAGATGGGAATAGCAAATCAAGTTCTTATTGTTTGAAGTTTATTTTAATAGTTTTAGAACTTCTATAAAATGCCCTTTCCTATTGACAATTGACCCATACTTTATTGAAAATAATATATACTGAACCTGTATTATTTCTGTTTTCGAGATCTGACATGTAAATAATTTACCTTTTTCTTCTTTGATTCCTACATGATGATGAACTGTAATAAAGCGTATTCTTTGTTTTTGTGTGAATGTGACATTTTTTCTTAATATTTGAATACTACCAAACAGGATTTTAATCGTTTCAAATATTTCCAATTTCCAAATTGTTTCTACTTTATTATGTGTACCTTTTCAGGTATTGGCAACATAGATTTTATATATATTGCAGTACAGAAAGTGTAGAAACAATTTGGTGCAAAATAAGGCTTGCTCCGTCGTGGACCGCATACCTAATTTCAAAACACCTCCTCCCATAAATCATATGTAGGCAGACCATAAACCCAGAGTTAAAATGTATAGGGTACTTGTTAAGAAAGTATTGTTTATACCTTCCAAGAAAGTGGCAAGCAAGCATAAAGACTGCCTCAACGGTGGTCACCTTCATCACGTAAACGTTATTTCTACAGCTGAAATGCATTTTTACACATGTCGTGATTAATATCAGTCAAAATGCATGTCTTACGGGTCACCTGCTCAAAACTTTGTATTATTAATATTATTATTAAAAATTAATGGTTTTGCTCCCAATACATATATCCCCGAAAGCACACGGTCCGGATCCTTCCCGGAGTAGGGCGTCTAAGGCTGTTGAAGTGGTTATAGTCGAAACACCACTGTACGTGGCTCCTCAGGAGCCGTAGATCCGAATTGATTCGTCACCAAAAAAAAGGTCATCTTTAAAATATATCTAGTCTTACAATAAAAGAAATAGAAAGAAAAGAAAAAAAACGTTTATTTTGGCAATAACACAACACTTTATACAATTTTGCAGCTTGAATTACCCCGATGCCAAAAACGGACCCAATTCAGCTTTGTGTCAGATGAAAGCCTGACGCTAGTTTTCAATTGGGCCCAATGCCATTTCCCACATGCCCATGCCAATATACACTAAAAACATCTCTCTTAACATAGACCGCTTGCTTAGCATTAAAAAGTGAATTACCAGCTGTTAGCGTAAACAACCGGATGACGATGACGTAAGCCTCATAATGTGATATACGCTGCTATCAAATAATTGAATAATACAAACCATCAGGTGGTTTTGAAGAATAAGTGGATTTACGTGTTCGATTAAAATGCTTCGATTGTTTAACTATTCTTAGCTACATGACGGCTGATGAAGAACAGGGTAGTTACCTGTTGTTTAAATAATTAATGTTGTAATCCCTCAGAAAAGTAAGAAGCATTATATAAAATATTAGAACAATAAGAAATTATGCGAAATTTTAAAGTTAGTAAGTCGTCGAAAACATAGATTAGAGATAGGCTTTTGCCTTATTAAAATATTTATTACCTCCTCCTTTTTAAAGTTGGCTAAAGACTGAACAGTGTTAAATGTCTCCTATAGTTCGGAACTGTTAATCAATAGTTCAAAAGCAACCAGTATAATCTCTGTTGACATTTGGTTACTTAAAATAAACAGAATTTTTTTATCGCCTGCTAGCGACATCTGTTGTGGCTACTATTAGTTTCATGTCGTGCGATCAGCTGATATCTGCGCACGAGTTTCAATCACTGTGTTGTCATTCGTCTTGTATAGATGGCGCTACTATCGATGTAAACATCCATGGTTTCTCATTTTTAATGTTCTACTAGTTGCATAATAATATGCATACAAAATACGTAATATATAATATTTGCATTATCTTATTCTTATCTGCTTATACTTACCAAATGTTTAATCTAAATATATCTTTAAGTACCAGTGAGTACCAGTTACTCTGTGACAGCTATTTACAGCTATCACAGAACAAAAGTTTTTTGTTTGTTTGTTTTTTGAGTTTATTCTTGAATCTAATGACTAACGTAATAAGCGCTTGTATAGAGAAATCACTTGCACTGTAGTTGGACGCGTACTAAAAGTGCATCATGATTTTATATTATAAAAACAGTCCACATATTAAAATACTACTGTAAGTGTTTGGATTCTTACGATACGAGAAATGATTTTACATTGTGAATAGAACGTGAAAATTCGTCGTTGAACTTAACTTTTTCAGTGCCATTTATTCTAATATTATTTCTTACTCGACTGTAGGGTCTTATTTTTGCATTGGTATTCAGGGAAATCAGTAATCATTCTATTACTTATTTAATTCTACGTCATGCTATCCATGGATTTAAATGATTCTCCAGTTCGACATTGATGTATATGGTTGACAAACTAAACCATAAAAATATACGACGACAAGTCTTAAAGTGTGTACAGTTTGCCAAACTTCAGTTATATACTTTATGAACTCTAAAAGTACCAGAGATTTTCCACCATGACCTGACTGAGAGCCTGTCTAACATTTATCAGACAAATTTATATGGACTCAGTCCAACAGAAAATAAAATAACCTACTGTATTGCACCATTTTCTTCATCAAAAATGTTTCATTACTGATCCTGTCTTCGAAAATATAATTATAGTGCAGTGTAATTAGATTATTTCATTAGCTAAGAGCGCGGTAAGCAAAATTATGTCTTTAGGCTATAAGATAAGCGGTGAATTTTAGTTACAACGTTTACATGTACATTCACTACTGAAAGAGGAATATATTGCTCTATTTGAAAACTAGAGAAACTGATAACATGTTCTAATACAAACGTATTTACCCACACATGAAACGGCAATAGTATGTACTTGTTTCCCTGAAAACATTTCAATATTGCCTTTGTAAACTTTACATACACCTGTAATTCAGAGGGAGAGAGTCGTTCCAATGAGACAATTTACTACTGACTCTGAAATCAACGAGTGGAATTACATATTCATTTCTTCTAATCCTACCAGTACTGTACCGTTCAATGAATTAGCCCGGTCGAATTATCCTTCCCTTGTATTGGAAAAGTATACAATCATTAACAACAATAAAATCTCTCCTCGAAATACCTACATATTTATAGGCTAGGTAAATCTGAAAAACTTTATAGTAAAGTTACAGACGGCAGATGCCGTGGTACAAGCGTTTACAGACAATTTACGCTCAAAGAAATTGACTCATCGTATGGGTTCCATTGTGTTCCCATGCTAATGTTTGTGCTCTTCTGGCTTATGTGACAAGAACATAACAAAATGATGATAACGATAATGATACCTAACTGTTTATTTTACCACCATATCACTTGTTGATTGACTTTTTTACGTAAGCTCAAGCAGCTTTTAATTTCACATTTTAATATTATTGTATAAGCCAATATATTGTTTAACTTAAAGTATACTTCACCACTTACTATAAGTTGTTATCCAGATTACGGATTATGGAATTCTTACTAGTGTTAACGTAAATATGAACTTTGTAAACCTGGAAATTGATCAAATCACGAACCGACGTGGCTTCAGTCCCGAAGAGTGTTTCCTTAACAAGATGAAACCTTATTTGAGTTTATGTCCCAAAGGAACTAGCTATCCGGTAGGGATAAAAAATAAGCCGTCTACTCTCTATCCTTTGTGCATTTTGGGTATCATCCGTTTTATGTATTGAACCGTATGTACAATGTTAGTTTTCATAACAAATCTTCATGGTATCATCATGAAAATTTATACATTTGTCGTTGATGGAGAATCCACAGTTTAAAAATAATAATTGAACGTGTTAAAAAAATAATTAGTGCGACTCTAATTTGTGAATTTTGTTGATTCATTGTTTGAAAAAAAATGTATCTTAACATCTGAAAAATAAACTTCAAAGGAGAGTTTCTTTAGAGTTCATATGGAACTGGGTAAAGTATTGGTTATATATGTGGTAATACAACTGGTATCTTCATAAATTAGGGAATTAACCTTCTTCAAATTGCACACTGTTCGCTGAGAAGTTTAAACTACAGCTCTTATTAATACTTCTGCTGCAAAGTTCACCGCTAGGGTTAACGAACTTTGTAAATTTGAAAAGGCAAACCATACCTGTATTCATGAACTCATGAATCAAAAGACAGTTCCCACAGATAATTAAAAGAACAACTTCTAAAGCGGCAATCTTAAAATAGTCTACAATTAGACCTATTGAAGATGGTTGGACCACATTATGCACACGACGAACAAGTTTTTTAGAAAGTAAGGGACTGAACCAGAAATACTCTGTAACTGCGATACAATTATTTTATCCCGGTTTTGTTTATATCTCTTCATAGTACAATGCTACGGTATTTATTTATACAGATATGGATGCCCAACTATATACATTTTAGTATAACAATAGGCGGTCTTATCTTTATAGACAATCTTTAACACACAGGCCTACTAAATTTGACAAAGTTTCTTACCCAGAAACCAGAGTATGTATAGTTTCTCGAAGGATTTTGGTGCTCTGAATCCAAATTCGGCCGCAGAATTACTCTATCACGTCAGGTTTTTGAGATATTCTAAACTAAAAGTCCAAAAAAACGCCATTATTGCTCATTTATGAGGTTATGTAAACCTTCAAATTTTATTATTCCTAAAAAAGTACACAGGTTATCTTAAAGTTCGCAGAAAGACCTCCGTCCGTCCTCCATAAGCGCAGGCCTGGGGGTGACAGGTGAGGCCATCTGTCACCCTAGCAGAAGCAGGCCGGGGTGGCGGAGAGCGCGTTGCGAAGCGCGCTCGCTTCCAGGGAGCAGAGGGAACATGGGGTTCCCACACGGGGGGGGTTCGTCTACTTGTTGTAGATGGACCGAGGTATGTCGGGGCACCAGGGACTTCCTTTCTAGGGTAGACCTGGTTCCCCGGCTATTAGTACCCGAGACGGCGTGCGGTTTTAGTCGGTTAGTTTACTTTCCAGTATTACTCCTAGTTATTTGAGGAATATACAGTCATTGGGTTGTGATGAGTTCATCCACAACAATGTTCTATAGAAGGGGGGAGAGTACATCGCCCTGGGGGCATCCTCTAGCCACTCTGGTACCGCTCTACTTTAGCTTTAGTGTCTTCTTTAGCTTTTTATAAGGGTTATACAGCCTTACATTCTGATACAAAATAAGACTGCACGGATGGCGTAGTGACTGCACGGATGGCGTAGTGGTTTAAGCGGTCGCCACGCAACTTTCTATTACGCCGAGTGTTGTGGGTTCAAACCCCACATGGGACAACACTTTGTGTGATCCACAAATTGTTGTTCTGAGTCTGGGTGTACTTTGTGTCTGTTTCATGTATGTTTGTAAAGTCCCCCGCGACACAGGATTTATTCCTAGTGCGGGAGTTGTCTTAAAAAAAAAAAAAAAAAAGAATTCACATACGTGTTTTTATGTTTCACTTCTTTTTTTAATGTAAGATTTAAGAGATGAGAATTCTGTAATAATCTTATAGAAATAATTAATTAATAATATGTCTAAAATAAAATATTTTATTACACCCCAAAGTTACTGTAAATTAAATTAATTTACAGTAACTTTACTACGAGTCCATTATTTAAAAATATATATTTCATGTATAGATGTTTATATTAAATAAAAGTTCGAAGTCGCTTCGTGTATTTAATGATCGTTAGACCCTCAGAAAGTAACAGACAATTTTCTTAACGGACATAATACCTTTTACATCGTTTGAACCTTGCGGTATCGGTATGTGTTTACGTGGGAACTTTCACTCTCAAGCTTTATTCAGAATGGAATATTTTATAAGATCATAAAATGTACTGAAATTCACAGAAAATATTCAAATAAAAAGTAATAAGATTACGTTACAGGTCGATACACCTACTTTTGAGGTCAAACAACAGCGGATTATTACAAGCCTGCCTATTCACTCGAACGGAATAAAAGAAAGTTATGCAAGAAAAAAATACTGTAACAGAAAACAACCAATAAAGCGAACCATTCCTGTTATTCATGCGCTGTATTATCATCGCTCACGTAGTTGTATGTAACTTCATATGCCTTCCATTCTGTATACGATCTTTATGAACTGAATATTTCGGGTTCTCATATCGACAGAACAATTTTTTCTCCCTCCTGTACATTCTAACGGAATGATTTATTGTTTCAGATGCCAGCGACGGAGACGGAGTCAGTTTGAAATACAACGAGAAGTTTGAATAATTTGTGCATAAAATCGACTTTTAAAATTTCCCTTATCCTTGATTCTGTAAAGTGACGTAATCGCGAAAAAAACAAGTTGAGTGATGTTCGAAATTCAAAATGAGTGATCGTGATTGTCTTATACGCCGGGTTCTGTTGTGATCAGTGATGTGCTGTGTCCATAGTGGTTATCGCTAGTCGTCGAGATGGCGACGATGGATCTCACTGGCGAAGTGGTCCGGTTGCGGGCCGAGCTGGAAAAGGTTTCAGCTGAACGTGACATGCTTCTCTGCGAAGTCTCGAACTTGAGACGGGAGCTGGAACTTAGCGAATTGAAACAATTGCAGGATGACAGGTAAGCGAATATAACAAAACATTCTGAGAAGATAACTTTACATAGTGCCATCGCTGTTCCATATGGAATCTATGCACATAACAACCGCTTCCGCCCAAACAAAGGGTGCCTCCGTCTTGTGGGTCTTTTCAAAAGCTCGACAGTTCGCCGGGCACCTCTCATACCACAGACAAGACGTGGTCTAAGCGATAAGCTTCAGAAATCTTAGGAATAATAAATTCTATTTCCTAATTCTGGGATGAAAGTGTAGTGAAGTAAGTGTGTAAGTATAGGAAAAACATAAGTCAATTTCTATATTAAAAATTATGAATTTAAAATACATGTCGTGTGCACAACACTCGGCATAGTAGTAAGCGGCGTGGCGACCACTTAAACCACTACGCCATCCGTGCAGTCGAAGTATTGATCATCAAAACAGCTAATGAGGCTAATTTTACATCGCTAAAACGTTTAACTTCCACCACACAGACACGCATGCTTATATATAACTCCTATTGTTCAACCAATGGTTTCCGACGACAGACATCATCTTCAGAAAGTCCTCCGCACTCTTTGCAAAACACTCTTTTATACGAGTTGACGTCTCTGTATATGGATGTGATACCACCAAGTATTTGTGACTGCTCTATTTGTGAACATCATGTTGTGATTTATATTGTCAGCTTGTTGACGAATATATTTTTCTTTTACTGATAAGTTAGCGAAATTAATCATTTCACGAAGTTCTGGGTTGTTTGCAAATAGTGGAGCCTATAGTAACAGAACTTCCAAGAAAGACATCGAATCAACTAAAGCGTATAATATGTGTAGCATATGTTTTGTTATAGTACCTAACATATGGAGTACGAGTTAAGTACTTTAAAAGATTTGCATTCTGTTAGCTCAACACCAGCGAGAGACACTTATAAAGGTATATACATCTTCAGACAATTCAAAGGTATGTAAAACCTATTGATTGCGTTAATTCCATATTTTTTTATAATAACGATTTCCGCTAACCCGATGGACGGACGACCTGGTTAAGGTTGCCGGAAACCGTTGCATGCAGGCAGGCCGCAATCAACCGTCCCCGCTGTAAATCATTCATCAACAGCCTTTAATAGTCCACTGCTGGACATAAGCCTCTCCTTAGAAAGGAGGTTTTGGCCTACTATACCACGCTGGCCAGACGGGTTGGTATAGGGTTTGTGTCAAGTTTTCCTTCTCTCTGCAGTGCTGTTGTTCTGCGTAGTTTTTTTAGTCGGCTCTTACGACACCCACGGGATGAATAGGGGTGGCGACACTCTGTATTCTTAATCCGTCACCACACGGACGGACTGTAAATAATTGGGAGAGGCCTATGTCCAGCAGTGGACAAGCATAGGCTGAGGTGATGAACGATTTTCATTATTACTGGTGTAATTTTTAGATTATGGTTTAGAGTTACAATACTAACTTTTAAACTATCGCGTTTCACAATATGTAATTATGTTTACGGGAATTAACGCGCTCACACGATACGTGTGGTGACAGGTTAAGAATACGGAGCCGTGTTGTAAGAGCCGACTAAGGGAGCAACCTACACAGAACAACAGCACTGCAAAGAAAAAGAAAATTTCAAATAAATCCTATACCAACATGTCTGGCCAGCGTTGTATAGTAGGCAAAACCTCCTTTCTTAAGAGAGTCCCATATCCAGCAGTGGACTGTTAAAGGCTGTTGATGATGATGAACGCGCTTACAATAGGTATGGAGTAAATGCCTTTGAATTGCCTTACGTTTGGAATGGCCAATGCAAACTAATTAAAACATAATTATATAAACTTAGTTACAATGTAACGTCTCTGCAAAACCGATTCAGAGGTTTCGTTGTCAAAAAACTTTCATTTATAATATAACTCCGAATTTTGTAACTATCTGTTCAAATAGGTTTTTGGAAAATAGACTTAACTAAGTCAATTTAGACCTATATCGCTTGTGATAATGTAACACACTATTCCTTAATCCCGCCGCGATTTCCAGGACAAAACGCAAGTAAATGATGCTTCAAAACAAACTATTCACTTCTATAACAATGCTATGATAAACATGTAGTACAACATACTTAGATTGCCCTTGCAATTGCAATATACAGTTTACTTCCTAATTAGTGGTCGTATTGTTTTGATGAGTCACTTTGCTTGAGTCATGCTCCTTGCAAAGGTAGACAATTAGCAATTGTCATGTGGATATTTTAACGTTTAATATAGACCTAAAGTTAACCTTACGGGCATAGCTAGCAAGGTTTATTACAATGGACTTAGCAATGTAATAAACAAAAACACCTAATTAATCATCATAATTTTCCTGCTCTGTTCCCAATTTTCTTTGGAGTCTGCGCAATATGACCGGAGTCTTTTTAAAAAATATGACCGGAGCCTTCCTGACGCCAACCTTTCTTGAAAATGTACTTCATAATTGTTAGAGCGGAGTAAGGAAAACAGGAATGACTGCAGTAGCTTTAAAAGAGGCATAGCCCTCGCATCCCTAGGCCCATCCTGTGATTAGAAATTATTATAAAATCCGGAGAGACGGGGACATCATTGCCCTTGTTGGCCAAATTACATCTTATCAATATGTTATAAGAACGCAAAATAATAGATACTATAATGATGTATTCATTTTATAAACATACACGTCTCAAACCCTCAGGCACAGTTAGTAAAATATATAGATGAGAAAGAAGAGAGAAAATATATATAAATATAAAGTAAGTATATCATGTAATAGAAAGATATAATGTACAAACTCAATTTGCCTTGTCGTCAACTATCTTTCTCTTTTAAGAGCTTTCTCCGTGTATTTATTGCTTGTTTTACCCTAGTGTTCCGTATTAATGGTTATGGTAAACTAGTTCTTCTGTAAAATACATTGACATTTTATCACTGTGTAAGGTATTCAGTAACTACAGCCCGTATAAAAATACACCGCTACTCGTGGGTAGATACGCTATTTTAATGATATCTGCTAAATAATTCAAATAACGGTATTTTATTTCGTAACCGTTTATTATAATAATTTTAACGTTATTCACTTTAATGGTAAATAGTTCATCCATTTTCGTAACACTAAATTTTCATCTGAAAGTCGATTACGTAACGCTATTCATAAAAATTAAACACAATAGGGCTTAATGTTTGGTTTTAATATTTTAAGAAATCTCTTACGCCAGAGATTATTGTCGTTTAAGATTATCTACTCATCAGCTACTCAGTAAAGTAATCACTACTCAAAAATGCTTTTAAGTAGACCTTAAGGAAATTCCTCGACTTGGACAAATCTGAGCCTACAGAATTTTCAATAGTAGTGTTGTTGTTTCACGTTCTTTTATTAGTCTAATAGTTCTACTTTTAACCATGACTCTGTACAATTTTTCTCACTAATATTTAATAACATTTAACAGCATTACAAGTACTTCTAACCAAGCAAACGGTTACATTTCTAGAAGTCTGTGTTAAAAAGATCTGTGTAAGTGACTTTACAAATTTCACAATTTTTTAACCTCAGGATGTAAGTGACTTAACTTAAAAAGCAATTTGTGGAAAATAAGCAAAAAAATGTTACCATCCATTTCTTTCTTTCAGAGGTAGCAAAAGTACTATAATACACCATTTTGTATTAATATAGCTTAACGTTGAATTATGATTATAGTACAATTAGCCAGCTGTTCGTTCCTTCGTGTATAATTCTATTAATAACTAGTTTTCTCACGACACTATATGTAGCTAGAGTGAGTTTAATTTACAATTCTCTCTATGGGAATTCGTCATAGATATTTGTCGCAAATAACATTTCTTGTAATCTACCAAGTAGATTGATATAATACATGCAATATCCGACCAAACTACCGAGGGGACATATTCTAAAAGAAAACCCAAGTAAAACGCCTGTATGGTGTATGAGATTTCATAGGGAAGGGAACCAACAAATAATTCGACCAGTGCTGTGGTAAGAATTTTACCATTTTCAAGTGTTTGGTGTCGCTGCAACATTACACTCGTAATATATATAATAACTGTACTGTACTCTATAGTTTCACTTTCACTGAGATATGCAAATGGCCATCAAGTATTACTGTCGTACTTTAGAAAGTACCACATTAGTATGTTTGTTTGTTTTAATACACATTACCATTTTAACTCGCCACTAGTCACGTATTTTGTCATGATGGACTAGAAGCTTGTATTTCTGCAATGAGTTCTTATAGATTCTTTTTATAAATACACTATTTGTATGTTTTATTTAAAATAAAAAAATATAAGAACCATTCAGTACACAGTATCGGTTGGTCAATTGAGCAGCTAAACGTAAAATAATACTAAAAAAGAACAAATCCCAAAAGATTAGAAAGGTAAATCGTATAATGTGTGTGGTATGTATTTAGTTAGATGAGAGAGTTAATGTATGCATTTCTAAGTTAACAATATATGTACATAGATATAAGTATTGCTAAGCTTATAAAATCTATTTATTCGTACATTATTTTTTTAGACTTAAATATTTACATATCTTCTTACTTCCTGTTTGTTTGCGGGTGCCGGGTGGGGGTCACGTGGTGGACCCAGCACCTGCACGGTGAATCCATGGAACGCTAAGAAATAGGTATCTACATCCTTCGAAGGTTGTCTGGCTGAAAATACCTAAGGTAATAAGACCGCCTCTGTATTGAAAGTGCATAAAGTTTTCAAATAAAAAAAAGTTAGTCAACAAACCGTCTTTCGATATTATATTAAGTGCCGATCAACTCTTGATCAGACAACTGTTATAATAAAACCTTTTTTTTAAGGCGAACCGACTTCAAACGATGATAACAAGTGCTCTAAAAACGTAGCAGCTATCGCGGTTGATTTGCGGTCATTTTTTAAAGAGTTACGTTGACCGTCTCCGAAGTTCATCATTAGGTCTATATGAAATTTAAATGGGACCCTTTCGAACAAAAAAAATTTGAAAATATATGACGGAGTTATTAGGGAACATACATTAAAA